GCGACGCCAGGCGGCGAGGCAAGCGCCACGCTGCGTCAGCGCCGCGGTCAGCACCACCCCGAGCGCGCGCCACAGGAGCGCGTCGGGCTCCTCGGGCAGCTCGGGCGGCGCGGCCCGCAGGGCGCGGAGCTCGGCCAGCTCCGCGGACAGGTTGGCCAGCACGACCTGCACCTCGTCCAGCGCGGCGTGGCACCGGCTGAGGTTGGCCGCGTGCGCCGCGGCGAGCTGGGCCACGCGCTCGGCAGCCCGCTGGGCAGCGAGGGCCGCCCGACTGCCCCAGTCGTCGGGCGGACCGCCTCCGCCGCCCGCGCGCAGCAGGCCTGGCTGCCACGCGTCCAGAGCACGCCAGATGCAGACCAGCGACCAGGATGGCAGCCGGAGAGCGAGAGGGCGCATACGTGTCAGGTGCTCCCTCAGGCGAAAAAGGCTTTCGCGAAACGTATACGGACTCTGTGTATTCATCTCCTGCACGTTCTGAGGACAAGTCTCATAATCGTCATCATCGTCATCCTCATCATAATCATCATAATCATCATCATCATCATCATCATCAGCAGCATCATCCTAATCGTCATCAATATCCTCATCATCACCATCATCATCATCAACATCATCATCATCCTCATCGCCGTCATTATCATCATGATCGTCCCCCTCCCCTCATCATCGTCCCTCCTTCCACTCATTATCATCGTCATCATCCCTCCCCTCCCGTCCCTCCTCCCTCCCCTCCAGCCCCCCCTGCTGCCGCTGCTTCCCTTTCCGCTCCCCAGAAGACATAAAGAGAGCGAGGAAGATAGAGAGACAGAGACAGAGACAGAGACAGAGACAGAGACAGAGAGAGACAGAGAGAGAGAGAGAGAGAGAGAGAGAGAGAGAGAGAGAGAGAGAGAGAGAGACGCACGCGCGCACGCACGCACAAACGCACACACGCGCTCTGGCGGCCGCATGAAACGTAGACTGAAAGAGAAAACGCGCCGCATTGAATAGCAATATCCCTAATGAACCTTGGTGAACCTTGAGGAAGACGCCCAAGACGGCCCCCCAGGCCCCCCAGACGGCCCCAGACGGCTCCAAAGGACCCCCCAGACGGCGAGTGGGACCCCAGGATGGCCCAAGAGGGCCCCCAGACGGGGGGGAATCGGGGGGAGGGGTTGGTTGGTTGGTGTGGGGGGGGGGCTGGGGGGCCAGACCCGGTGTCTTTCAACAACAACAACAACAACAACAACAACAACAACAACAACAACAACAACAACAATCACTTTACCCGAACGCTCAGTGTTCTCACCAGTGCCAGGGTTTTCATGCGACGCCAGCCAATACCCCCACTTTGTGGGGGGGCAGTGCAAGCTCTACCAAATATCCACACGACTCTTCGCCACCACCCACACCCAGCTTCCCGCCCTATGACGTTCGGACACTTCACTTCGTGGCCTGCGGACGACCTTGGCTACTACACTGGCGCATGGTTACAATGACTTCTTGTGGTAACATCTTGTGGAAACTAGCTTAGTATACGACTTATACCCCTGTTCCAACAATGGGCACGTGTACCGTTTTCCGACGTTTTAACGTTTCTGTACCACACAAGCCAAGACCCTTATTTTGACTGGTATCACGTGCGTGGCGCCAGCATACCACAGGACTTGTTTCCGTTGTTGTGAGACGATATATGCTCATTCTTGTTCTGTGGTTCTCGTTCCGGCCTCAATGTGCAATGCTGGCTCACTCGTCGACGAAATACACGTGACTACCTCTCTCTGGTTGGAGGTCCTGATGGTTGTGGTTGTCCCGATAATTGTCGCGATGAGTGTCCCGATGAGTGCCCCGATTGTTGTTCCGATGGTTCTCCCGATGGTTGCCCCGATGGTGGTCCCGATCGTTGTCCCGATGGATGTCCCGATGGTTGTCCCGATGGTTGTCCTGATGGTTGTGGTTGTCCCGATCGTTGTCCCGATGGTTGTCCCCATGGTTGCCGCGATGGTTGTTCCGATGGTGGTCCCGATGGTTGCCCCCATGGGTGCCCCGCCGGAGGAGGAGGAGGAGGAGGGAGGAGCAGCAGGACAAGGCGAGGCGGACGCATACGTGCTCTGGAAGCATACTAAAGAGACGAGTCTGTGTGCTCATCGTCTTCTGGCATGCGCCTGTCCCTAATGGCACGCATCGGGCGCAATACTGCAAGCTGCGCTCCTGGCACCCATACATCAGGGGCCAAGTGTCCCAGCATGGTGCCGATACGCCTTCTCGCGGACACATCGCCCGTGCGTCCGTGGGGCGCCAATACCGCCAGGACGCCCTGGACATGCGCCGGCATACCCAGATCCACACGGTAATCCATGACATTCCCATACTCGGACTGCCCGAAAGAACGCCATACAGGCATGTGCCACCAATGATCCTGCTTCGGGAACAAGGTGATACCATCCTTGACGTCGTGGGAGGCATTCAACAGAGCCATACATGGCGGCTCCATGCCCATGGATGCCGTGTGTGTTGCCACAAATACATCCAGGCTCGCCATGCGCCTGTATGACAGACCTGATACCACCTCGGAATGCACGTGAATACGCAGGAGCTGCAACAGCCTGCGCAAGCCAGCATACACCCAGCCGCCGGGTCGGACGAATACGTGCGAACTCCAGTTCGCTATACCAGCTTGGGTGCACAGCCGATTGAATATTTCCGCAAGTGTGCCGATTGAATACTTTCGCAGAAGTTCGAAAAAGTTGCTCGCAAAAGCCCGTTTGACAGAAATGTTTAAAAAGTGTTGGGTTTCCTACGAATCCGCAAGAGCGCGCGGGATGAGATTTTGACATTTTTTTGTTGAAAAACCATTGGTTTTTGATGTTTTATGTTAAAATCGTTCCGAACACTAAGGTTTTGGAAGGATTTCGTCTTGCGCGCGCGAATGTCCACTTTACCTTATTTTTTGCAAGGGATTCTTGAAATTTGATTATATTAGAACAAGAAATGTCATTTTTAGTGTTTTTTGCAAGGGAAAGCGGATCGGAACAAAACAACCGGATCCTGTCACACCGTTTTACCTGAGGCTTCCTCACGAAAATGATGAAAATGTAGCTGCGGCCTAGGCGGCGCAGGGGGGGCGTGCACCAGGGGCCCAACAATAATTATTCTTTAGAATAAATAATGTTCAACAACAACAACGACAACAACAACAACAACGACACAAGAACTCAACGACCTCTCGAGAGATCCGCCGGAGTCCAGCTCTGGCGCGCTGAACCCTCGCGACATGCCGAAATCGAACTCGGGACAGACTGTCGGCTGATAACCACTTGTTTGCCAAGCATATTCACGCCACTGCAAGATACAAGACATAATGTGCATCCGCGTCACCCCCGCTCCGGGCTGAGCTGGTCACGAAGGTTGAAGCTGTTGATTGCGCACCTCCCTTTGGTCGAGGACTGAGCATGCCCACTCTGAGGGCACATCTGGTCCTGTCCGTCTCCAGCGTTTCGGCGTGTGGCTGGCTATGCTCATCAGGATCTGTCACAATCAACCACACGGGGCAGGCCGACGCTGTCACGAGCGACACCTCTGTTTCCGACTGCGTGAAATAAACGTATGTGCAATACCAAAAGCGCCAGAAAATGTCAAGCGCCTCAGGGCGATGAGCACAGACAGCCGAACTGCTTGCGTCACCCGACAGCCTGGCTTTTTGCCATCAGAGACCAGAAGAAACAGCTCCTCCTCTTCCTCCTCCTTTTTCTTCTCCTCCTCCTCCTCCTTTTCCTGTTCATCCTCCTCCTCCTCCACCTTCTCCTCCTCCACACGGGCAAGAGCTGCACATTTGCAGCGTCTATCCTCCTCCTCCTTCTCCTCATCCATAGCCGTATTACCTCAACTCCTCCTCCTCCTCCTCCTCCTCCTCCTCCTATTACACCTCCTTATCATCATCATCAACATCATCGCTAATCCTCTCCAAAGCCATAGTACTTCAAATACTGCTCCTCCTTCTCCTCATCCGCCTCCTCCTCATCATCATCACCATCATCATCATCATCGTCATCACCATCATCATCATCAGCATCATCAGCATCATCATCAGCACCAGCATCAGCATCATCAGCATCATCATCATCACCATCATCATCATCATCCTCAACCATCATCATCATCGTCAGCATCATCATCATCATCATCATCATCATCATCACCATCACCATCATCAGCATCATCATCATAAGCAGCATCAGCATCCGCACCATCATCAGAGCAAACACCAGCAACAGCACCAGCACCAGCGTCATCATAATCATCATCTGCAGCAGCATCAGCATCAGCAACAGCATCAGGATCAGCATCAGTAGCAGCAGCATCATCAGCAGCATCATCAAATCATCAGAATCATCATCATCAGCACCATCATCATCAGCATCATCATTAGCATCAGCATCAGCATCATAATCGTCAGCCTCATCATCAACAACCTTATCATCAGAAGCATCATCATCCGCAGAAACATCATCATCAGCAGAAGCAGCATCATCAGCATCAACAGCATCATCAGCATTCGAAGCACCAGCATCAGCACCATCATCAGCAGCACCAGCGGCACCAGCAGCACCAGCAGCACGCCATCAGCTTGACCATCGTCAGCATCGCTAGCATCATCATCACAATCAGCATCATCATAAGCATAATCATCATCATCAAGAGCAGCAGCGGCATCATCAGAATCAGCAGCGGCAATAGAAGTAGCATCATTATCAGCTTTATCATCATCATCAGCAGCATCATCAACATCGGCGGCATCATCATCATCATCATCATCATCATCATCATCATCATCATCATCATCATCATCATCATCATCATCATCATCATCGGCAGCAGCATCAGCGTCAGTATCAGCATCAGCATCATCATCAGCAACATGTGTATCCACATAAGCATCAGCATCCCTGCTTATTGTCCTCCACCTCCTCCTCCTCATCCTCCTCGTCCGGGGGGGGCGCGTGCGCGGAAGGCAGCCGCTCCTGCCCACAATGGCGCAGATCTCCTCGGCGAAAGAAAAGAGGGCGAGGGGAGCAGCGAGCTGGTGGGACGAGGAACGGTGGCTGGGTGAGCCTTTATAGGAACCTCTGTGGATCTCCGCGGCCCTATCATAATCGTGATTTCGACCAGATTTCGTCCAGAATTCGATCGCTCCTCTTCACCCTTCGTCCAGATGTTGTCGAGATGTCGTTCAAATGTCGAACAAGTCCGACGGAATCCTCCAAACCGCAAGGAATGTTGGGACCCTCTGAGGCTCCCATGAAGGAGCCCACGACGGGGGGTTGTCGGCGACGCGCCCAGGGGGGAAAATGAGAGGAAGCGGGCCTTCTCAGAAGGCGGCAGAGCTTCTGAAAAGCCTTCTGGCCTTCTGGGCAGCCGCCTCCGTCTTCGGAGAAGGCTTAGTAGGTTTCTGAGAAGGCCTGCTGCTTTCACAGCCTTCTGAGGAAGCACGCCCACTCCAACTTCCCCCCGGGCTCGCCGTCGAGGTCCACTGGAGGGGAAGAGAAAGGTGACCATGACCAAGACAGATCGCGGATATGTCGTGTCGATCCTGGCCAGCGTCCACCTTAGTCAGAGTCAATGTGTGAAGCATCCCCGCGAACTGGCGACGGCTGGCATAGACCATAATGAAGATCGGCGTCGAGAAGATCCATCAACATCTTGGTCATGAACCAGGCCGTGACCGGCAGGCCCGTTCCCCCCCCCGCTCCCCACCCCTGGACACGTCACGACTCGCGACGGCGACGTCTGGGAATTATCCAGTCTCGGCGTTGGACAAACCTCCCTTTAGCAAACCTCCAATTAGTGAAAACGGCCTGGGGCCGAAACCGACGGACCTGGACCCGCAAAAATGAGGGCTGCGACGCCCTGTCGCGAACCGAAAATGGCCAATTCCTTTATCGACGTGTCAGGGCAGGAGGTCGATCAACCTCCGATCGGAATGAAAAACAAATCCTCGTGTTGGATTAGAGAGATCCGGGACCCTGATCAGGATCCGGTCCATGTGGATCTCTACGATGTTGCTTCTCTGCCCAAGGGTTCGGCTGGTGGCGAACATGGTAAAGCGTCGGGATGGCCCTCGGTAGGCCGTAAAAGGACGCAGCGCCACCCAAAAGAACTGACCTCGGCCCAGCTTGAGCTTCGAGCTGAAGCCGAAATTCGAGGCAGTGGCGCTGCTGCCCCCCCCCCCCCGAAAAAAGAAGGACCAGAGCAAACCCGAGGTGCATCGACGAAGCTGCGATCTGCCGTCCCTCCCTAGACCCATCCCCATGAGTGCAAGCTTCTCTTTCACTGCGCGAACATCCCTCTTGACAGACCAGCTCCCTCTTGCAAGGCGTTTCCAAAGAAACTGCCGTTCATCCTTCGAGCTGTGAGGAATACGGCAAGGTGGGACCGAAAACTATAGGAAATGCAGATCGGCACCCACGCTTTGAACAGGGACCACCCTCCATCCGCGCAAGCGTGGTGTAAACTTACGTACATGTACGGCCGTCACGTCCAAGAGAAGGAGGCGCTCTCCATCCGTGCAACCGTTCCACACAGTGGTATGCTACACCGGGCACTGCGTGCTGAGGAAGTCCCAGGCGACAGCCCCAACTTGAAAAAGGAACCCCCGTCCATCCGTGTGAGTGTCGGACGTTGACTACGCGTGCGCGCGGCGCCGGGGCGAGAGCCCCAGCTCAAAAAAGAACCCAGCTCCCTCAGTGCTGACCCTTGGACCTGCTATAAACACACAGGGCTGAACCTGAACGGTGTTGTTCGTTTTCGTTGTGCGTTCGTTCCCCTGGCTTCTGTCTCGAATCCTCCTTTACCGCAAAACGAAGTCGAAACGAAAACGGCCCAGGCCAAGATCGGGGCGTCCAACAGACGGGGGTCACACCTCGTGGCTCGAGGCGCGTGCGAAGCCGGAGAGCGGCCAAGCGAACGCATTGGAACACGAAGAGGGGGGTGGCAGGACATCGGGGGAGCTTACACGGCCCCGGCCACGAGACCCACACACGCCCAATCATCGCCCCTCTCTCTCTTGGCCGCTCCTCTGCGAAGGGCGGGGCTCCCAGAGAAGGGCGCAGCTGTTTTGGTTCAGGCACTCGGGAAGGCGCAGCCTTGGCCTCACGCCCTGACGCGCGAGGCGCCGGACCGCTGACACATCGTAGCCTTGAGCCGTACTGCAAACAAGCTTGCGTGCCAAAGGACTCCTCTGGCACGCAAGCTTGAATGCAATATGCAAGAACGCCCGCACGCACGAACGATAATGGATGGACGACGCGTGTGCCCGCGCGGGCAATGCGCGGGCACGAACGACTGGCCCTCAATGACCGCCAACATTGGATGCCAATCGTACCCGATCACGTACATGAACGAGACATTGAGCATACATGGGCCATTCAGCCCCCATTGAAGACCCCCTGTTGCAGACCCCCCTCTTTCACCCTCCAGAGGAGTCGCCAGGACGGCCCCGCCGATCCAGACCGGCGGAGGCACATCCGGCGGCAAGCTGGCGGGCCGACCGGCTCGGCACACGGCCTCTGCAGCGAGCCTGCGGGTGGCCCCGGGCGTCTCCCGTGCCCGGCGCCGGCTCCTCGGAGCGGAGCGGCGCAGGCCCGCAGCGCCCTCCTCTCCCCGCCGCTCCCTTCGGGGACACGCAGTCACGGGGGGGAAGTGAAGTGGGGGCACGATTTGTTAACACCATCTCTGTTCATCAGGTGGCAGAGCATATCAATTTGTGGTGAGGTGCGCCAAGTAGTCCGTGGCGCTGCAATTTCAGTGTTTGTGGCCGCACACGCCTGCCAGGAAAAGGATACCAGGAAGGAGAGGGGGCGGGCCTTCTCGGAAGGCTCGGAAGGCCTCCAGCCTCCTGAGAATTGCTGGTCGGCATTCCCCGACGAGGCAGAACACTGCTAAGGAAGCGCGGGGGCTTCTGAGAAACTCCGCCGCCTTCTGAGCAGGCCTGCTCCTTCTCTCTTCCCCCCCGGTGCGCCGCTGAACCGTGCTCCTGCGCGCGCGTGCTGGCAGGAGGGAGGGCCATGGCCACTTTGACTCAGGCTGGTCTGAAGATGCGGCGTGGTTGTCGAAAGCTCACTTAGAGCGCCCGAAAGGACGAGTTATCGATGACGATGACGACGACGATGACAACGGCGATGACAAAAAAGGTGGCGATGGCTATGTCGATGACGTCATTGTCACGGTCATGGCCATCGTCAACAAACGATTACAAGGTGGAGCACGTCATGAGTTGAATTGCGCGGGGGCGGGCGGGGAAAGGCGGCGAGGAATCGCGAGCGGCCCGCCTCGTCGCCCACAAACTCGACGGGCACGTCCTCCACGACCTTCCCCGTGGCCTGGCCGGGTGCCCTCGAAACACTCGTGCCATCAGCGAGCTAAACAAAATGACTTCAATGATAAGAATACGGCCTACATCGAACCAAATAAAAGCCGTCGGAAAAAAACAGATTGCCTTCAGTGAGAGAATGTCTGTCTTCAGTAAACTCCTCGCTGGCCGCCCTTCATCCTCGGCTTTGTTCCTCGCCATTCTCGTCGACCGCTGCTGCTCCTCCTCCGCATCCTCCTCGTCCCTCCCCCTCCTCCCTCCTGCCCACTCCCACATTGCGCATGCCGCCTCCGTCAAACCATGTTGTTCCTCCGTCTCATCCCCCTATCCTCCCCCTCCTCCTTCCCTCCTGCTGACACAACTATCCACCACTCATCATCCTGTTCCTACCACTACTCATACTGCCAGTGCTCCTCTTGCCCCTCCTCCTCCTGCTCATCCGTTTCCTCCTCCTCTTCACTGTCTCCCTTCTATTCCTGCTGTTGCTCGTTTCCTCCCGGCTATTCTCCTTTCCTTCCTGCTCCCATTCCTCCCCCTCGCCCTGCACTTCCCCCTGGGAGCCCAAGAGCTGTGAATGAAACTCGTTGAACCCGCTCCTCCTCGCCGACGGCGACAACGACGATCTTGCCGACGACGACGACGACGACGACGACGACACCCCGACAACGACGACGTCGCCGACGACAAGGACGACCTCGCCGACGAAGACAATGACGACGCCGACTGCGACGACGCCGACGCCCCACGAGACCGTTCGGGCACCTTCAAGACCTCCGAACTCTTGCGAATAACCCCAAAACCTTCGAGCACAGAACGCATTCGAAGGCCCCAGAGATCGCGGAAACATGTGCGGCGGCGGCGACGGCGACGAGAAATCGCCGCCCTCGCGGCCTGCTGGCCCTTCACATGGTACACACCCACGCCCCCATCCTTATCGGGCCGCTCATCCTCCTCCTGTTCCTCCTCCTCGTGGCGACGGGAGACAGTCGCCCTCGCGGCCTGCTGATGTTTCCGCAGCAGCGCCTGCGGATCCACGTGGACCACCCCGTAGCGACGAGCCACGGCCCTGCACTGCGTCGTCCTCGGATGTGTCGCCGTCGGCGCCGTCGAAGTGTTCGTCGTGTTCGATGTCGTCGCCGCCGTCCTCGCGTTCGTCGTCGTCGTCGTCGTGGTGGTCGTCGCCGTGGTCGCCGCCATATTATCATCATGTTGTGGTAATCGTATTGTGTATAATTCTTAAGTGGCCTGCCGTATTATCATTCCTACTCTTACGACCCGTACGTTTGGTACTGGTATGTCTCGTACTCGTACCGCTCTTCTTACTCATTCTGAAACTGCTACTCATACCAGTTAAAGGCGCACTAGTCGCAGCAGCAGCAGCAGTAGTAGCTAAGAGGGTGGTTGGTAGCCTGCGTCTACATGAGCTGCTCAGCACTCTGCGCGTGCGATTCGTGCTGTCCCCTGCTTGTTATTCCGTACCTGCCGCGCTGCTTCACTGTAGTTCTCGCGAGAGGCCCCTGAAGAGGAGGAGAGGGACTGGAAAGAGCAGTCGGAGACAGCAGGCTTAAATCCATTGGAAAACAAGCAATCCAAAATTATCATGGCGAAGGACCCAACCATGTGCAACTGTGAATACCGCGTTGCGGGTACCGCTCTACGTGGAACCCCTATGGGCCACGATCCTCGTGAGGGGTGTGCCGAAATGGGCGGGGGGGGCGCATGCAAACCCTGCCGCTGGGCCTTCGGTGGAGCTCCCTATGCGGCCACGGTCCTCGTGAGGGGTGTGCCGACATGGGCGGGTGGACGCATGCAAACCCTGCCGCTGAGGCCTTCGGTGGAGCTCCCTATGGGGCTGTGATCCTCGTGAGGGGTGTGCCGAAATGGGCGCGGGGACGCATGCAAACCCTGCCGCTGGGGCCTTCTGTGGAGCTCCCTATGGGGCCACGATCCTCGTGAGGGGTGTGCCGGAATAAGCTGGGGGACGCATGCAAACCCTGCCGCTGGGGCCTTCCGCGGAGCTCCCTATGGAGGGGTGTGCCAAAATGGACGGGGGACGTATGCAGACCCTGCCGCTGGTGCCTTCGGTGGAGCTCCCTGCGGGGCCGCGATCCTCGTGATGGGTGTGCCGGAATAAGCTGGGGGACGCATGCAAACCCTGCTGGGGCCTTCGGTGGAGTTTCCTATGGGGCCGCGATCCTCGTGAGGGGAATGCCGAAATGGGCGGGGGGGATGCATGCAAACCCTGCCGCTGAGGCCTTCGGTGCGGGGGACGCATGCAAACCCTGCCGCTGGGGCCTTCGGTGGAGTTTCCTATGGGGCCGCGATCCTCGTGAGGGGTGTGCCGAAATGGGGAGGGTGGACGCACGCAAACCCTGCCGCTGGGGCCTTCGGTGGAGTTCCCTGTGGGGCCACGATCCTCGTGAGTGGTGTGCCGAAATTGGGAGGGGGGCGCATGCAAACCTTGCCGCTGGGGCCTTCGATGGAGCTCCCTATGGGCCCACGATCCTCGTGAGGGGTGTGCCAGCATGGTGGACATGCGGCGAGCAGAAGCAGGAATGGGAGGAGGAGGATGAGGACGACGAGAGGGAGGAGGAGGGGGAGAAGGGAGGGGGCAGCGGGAGGAGGTGAGATGCGGGGCGCTGTCTCTTCAAAACGAGGCCAACACCACAGGATTGTTGGGAGCAATGCAGATTCTGTGAGGTTTCCAAACGATCGAACAAAAGATTGTTTTCAAAACTTCGTCGTTTTGGAGCCCGTGGGACTGGGAGCTCAAAACACGTGCAAAGCATTGGAAAACTTGTAAGAGCCCAAGAACCAAAGGGCAACATAAGTATGTGTTCATAACTTAATCGGCTTGCGTGTTGGGCCAGCCAGTTCGGATGACCAAGTTGCACCAATCTTGTTTCTTCAATATTAACCCACCAAGGATGAATATGAGGTTCTTGGTGTTTGGGTCTTCGACGATTGCCTGGATCCCAAGCCCTACGAGTTGCTGGTGTTGCTTATCCTGTTTTCTGTACTGTATTTCGCAGATAGGCTTGATCCCCAGTCCGACAAGGCACAGACCGACCAACGTATGAAAACATGTTAATTCTTTGTCTGGGGGACAAACACAAAGACTCATGAGTGCTGCCTTGGTCTTGCATAGTTGTTGCGATTCAGAGATTGTCCGCTTTGAACTCCCAGCCCCAGATGCCCCAAACCGACGCATGTCCGACTGAACTCCCATTGACAAAAAAGGGCATGCCACCATCTTGTGGGGCTTACCGACAGCGCTGGATGTCAAACGGTATCTAGCCTTGGTGCCCTTCGCGAGCTGGACGGCCACAAATATATGCCTTCTGCATCCCAGCATTGCGCGCGCCGCGGCTTGGGGCCCCTGTCCTTGCCCCAGGGCGAACGATGAGCAACCGACCAAATTGGCGCTCAGCCAAGGCACCAAGCAAGGCAACGAAACCGCCAGGGGGGCGCAAGCCGCGAAAGTGCCAGCGAGCGGCGCACGCACTGGGAGCACTGGGCCGTCTCCTCGTCAAGGCTCGCGCTCGACCCGCCTCGGCGCCAAGCCAGCGGGCCACGGGGCCTCGAGCAAGATGAGGCCTCGCCCAGTGCTACACTGGGCGGCGCTTCATTCATTCGGCCAAGCACAAAGCCTTCAGGAGCACAGCCCCCCAGCTTCCTCGCTCTACACAGCCTGTCGAATAGGGGCAGAGGTGCGGCGCCGTCAATTCGGATTGCAGTTTCAATGACCAACGCGAGGGCCCCAACGAGGCATGAATTGCGGCTCCAAGAAATTAGGGCGAATTACCCCCCCACGAAGAACGCGCCCAACTATTCCGCGGCAGCGCTCGCGGCCGGCCCGATTTGACGCGGCCCAGGCCCCGTGGCCGAGCTTGCCTAGCGATTCCCACAGACTACTGGCTGTGCACGTGGGCCAGCGTCGCCGGCGACGCGCGGGGGCGCGGGGGCCCGGGCGGCCGGCCTGCTGAGCGTCGCCGTGAGCACCCTGTCCCTTGCACAGCCTGCCGGGGACAACTGCCGCCCCCGCTCCTCCGCTGCCGCCGTGCCCTTCGCTGAGCGACTGCGCCTCGCAGTGCGCCGTGGCCCCGCGTCGATGGCGGGGGGCCGGCCCTCCCGCGCCTGGCAACGCAGCTGGATCTCCCTGCGGCCGGCGCGGGCGCCCCTGCAATTTCCTCGGGCGACCGCGCCCGGCCACGCGGCCCGGGCGGCGCCGCGGAGGCAGCCGGGCTGCCCTGCTCGCCTTGGGCCTCGAACTCGAATGGCGACCCGGCCCAGGCGCTGCCCCGGGGAGGGGCCGAAGCGCCGCCGACGTCGAGGCCCAGCGCGAGCCCACGTCGGCAAGGCTTTCAATCGACAGAGCCGGGGACAGACGACGCATGTAAAAGAACATCCCAAGTCCAGGGGGAGATTCTGGCTAAGGATGCGGGGTTGCACCGGGAGGGGCCAAGATTCAGGCGAAGATTTAAGGTTCGGGGAGAATTCGCAATGAAGCTTCACTGTCCGACGGGGAAGAAGACTCTGGCGAAGGCTTGGGATCCCGTGGGGGTCGGGCGAAGATTCAGGGTTCGCGGCGGGTGGAGATTTAAGGTTCAGGGAGGGATTTGAGCGACGATTCAAATGAAGATCTGGGGCGCGGGGGAAGATTTACCCGAAGATGCAGGGTTCGGGGGGAGATCGAAATGAAGATCGAGGTGAAGATGCACGGCGCGGGAAGAAAAATTGGGCGGCGATCGACGCGACGATCTAAATAAAATCCGGGGGGGGATTAAGATGTAAATTTGAAGTGGGAATTTAGTCTGGGCAGAGCTTTGGTGAAGATCTGGGGCCCGGGCGAAAATTGAGGCGGCGATTTAAGTAAAGATGTATGGTTCGGGAGGGGATTTACATGAAAATTCCAATGTAGGCGAAGATTTTAGGGTTCGGGTGACGATGAAAATCCAAAGGAAGATTCACGTTTCGGGGGGGGAACGACGGCGATTTGCGGTTCCGTGC